AGAATGGAGAGAATAGAGCAAAACATAGAGACATTTGGGGTATAGTTTAAATAGCTAATCTATATCTGATTGAAGTCCTAGAGGAATTGGAGCAGAGAAGCATTTGAATTAGAATTAATGTCAATAAATCCCCATAAACTGATGGGAAGATATCAGATAGATTCAAAGTCAGGTAACTCATAGTAGATAAAATACAAAAAGGAAATATTATGTGGGCATGTCTTAAACTGTAAAAAACTGATGGAAAGAACATCTTAAAAGCCATTAGATAAAAACTAACAGCTAATACTACATTAAATGGTGCACTCTTGAATGCTTTTCCTCTAAATTTGGGATAAAAGAAAGTATTTCACTGTTTTTTTATTCAGGATTATATTGGAGATCCCAGCTACTTCAATTAAAAAAAAAAAAGTTTTAAGATTAGAAAAGAGGGCCCTCCCTGGTAGGAAAAGGAGTTAAGGCACAGGACTATGATGCTATCCAAAGCCACTGCAACATGAGTTCAATCCCTGGCCAGGGAGGTGACCTACATGGTGTGACAGACCTCTCCTGTCCCGCCCGTTGCTCCCCTCAACAGTGTATTTCAGTCAGTTCACCTGTTCTCTTCCCCATTCTGTGTCTGGTAAATCCTCTCACACCACTCCCTCCCCTGCACCTCTAGCCTGACTCCAGTTCTTGTATGCAAAAATAAATAAATCTTTAAACAAAAAGAAAACACATAAGACTCATTATTGACAGATGACATTACTATTACTGTGGATATAGGAAATTTAACATTCTGTATGCCATTCAAGTTAATGGAACTATTAATAAATTAATAACTAATTGAACCATTGGATTTAGTTAAATTGATATGAAGAAAAATACAGCAAGAACATCTTTTATTTCTATAAACGTAGCACCATGAAACAGAAAGTAAAATTGTAAAATTTTAAAATACCATTTATAATAGTATCAAGGTATCAATATTGGATTAACTCCCAAAAATTATCTTAAGCCTTCTATCTGGAAAGCAATTAATAACTAATTGAACCATTCGATTTAGTTAAATTGATATGAAGAAAAATACAGCAAGAACATCTTTTATTTCTATAAACGTAGCACCATGAAACAGAAAGGAAAATTGTAAAATTTTAAAATACCATTTATAATAGTATCAAGGTATCAGAATACTGGATTAACTCCCAAAAATTATCTTAAGCCTTCTATCTGGAAAGCATTTCTGGAAAAATTAAGAATAAATTGAAAAAGTAGAAATATATATGACATACATGGATTCAGTGTTGTTAAGCATATTTTTATAATTCAGTCCAAATGTTAACAGGCTTTTTTTTTTTTAAAGTGGAGCTTTATACAGATATACAGAAGAACTAGCAAATGCAGTCCTGCAAAAGAATAACAAGTTGGAAGATTTGCTGCAATCTGGACTTTATAATCAAGCTACAGGTGACAGGGAAGTGTAGCCTTGAAAACAAATAGACCATTGGAATAAAGTAGAGTTACACTGCCCGTTTAGCTGCTACTAGCCACATGTGGTTATTAAGCATTGTGGCCAATCCAAGTTGAGATGTGCTGTAAGTGTTGACAACTGGATTTTAAAAAGATTGAGTATGAAAACTATGTATAATATTAATAATTTTACATTGCTTATATGTTGAAAAGGTAATATTTTTAATATATTAGTTTTTTTAAGATTTTTTTTTATTCATGCATCCAAGAACTGGGGTTACAGGCCAGAGGTATGGGGTGTGAGGGGATTCACACTCCATAGAACAGGAAGATGTACTGAAATCTTAAGGGGAGCAGCAGATGGGTTAGGAGAGGTCTGCCACACCATGTGGATCACCTCCCTGGCTAGGGATCGAACTCATGCTGCAGTGACTACAGATAGCTTCAGACTGCTATACTTTAAAACTTGTTAAGCCACCTTGGAGGGCCCTGTAATATATTAGTGTAAAGGAAATAGTAAAATCAATTTTATTTGTTTTGACTTTTTAAAATATGACTTGTGAATTTTTAGAATGGCTTAATGAAAAGTCCTGGTGGGAGCAAAGATTCATTCAACAGTACACAAAAATGCATAAAAGATTTATAAAGATATATGGAGTATATAGTGCTCTATTAATCAAAAAGACACATATTGAAAAGGCAATCATAGGATCAGTAGAAGGACAATTTTGAGACTAAGCAAATGACAGTAATTCTCCTGCCCACCTGTTCTTATGCAGGTATCTCTCCTTTATTATATATTAAAATCTTTTTTTATTAAAACAAGTAAGCAAATGACTTGATTCAGAACATCACAAAGAGGATAGCCACATGACCAGCATATGAAAAAGTGCTCCTTATCCTTGGTTACAAGGAAATGTGAGTTAGAGCTAATACTACAAATATGCTAGGATGGCTGAGGTTTCAGAGACTGACAATATCAAATCACCTGGAACTCCCATGCATTACTGCTGAGTGTGAAAATTACTACAATCACTTTGGGGATAATATTGACAATACTTGTTAAAGCTAAATGAGTAATCTACTTCATATTCTAATAAGTAATTCCATTCCTAGGTTTATATGCAAGGTGAATGAATGCATTTGTCCTTCAGAAGACATACAGTTAATGTGAGCATTGGAAGCAACTCAAATGCTCAATAGTAGAAAGGTTAAATAAATGGTGGTGTTTTATACAATAAAATACTACATAGTAATACAAAACAATGAACCACATACTGTATGGTTCCATTTACATGGAGTTTAATAGCAAAAGTAATCTACTCTGGTTGATATCTGAATAGTAGCTTCTTGTTACAGAGCACAAGGGTATTCCAGAATGCTAGAAATGTTTTATTACTTGCTCAGGGTGACACTAATCCAAGTGTGAGCATCAGCTATATGGGCAATCTCCGCATACTCTGTGTGCACCATGACTTGCACACGTGTAAAGTGTCATGTTAACATGTCTGGTTGTTCCTTGATGATGATGACTATAGTTCATTTGCTTTTGTAAGACCAAGTACCTGAACATTAAAGGTGATGGGTACGTATAGAAGAAATTTAGGAAGTCAGTAGAGTGTACGGCCATACCACCCTGAATGTGCCTGATCTCGTCTGATCTTGGAAGCTAAGCAGCGTCAGGCCTGGTTAATACTTGGATGGGAGGAAGGCAATAGATAGATTAGGAAGTTAGTTTTGATTAGTTGTTTGACTAGTCTGATGTCTCTTAATTCAGCACCATTTCTGTTGTCTCTTCCTACTTGCCATAGTCAGAATTCTGTTGACCTCAAGGTTAGGGGTGGTCAGTCTCTGAACTCAACAAAGCACATCTAACTAAGTTCAACCCTTTTCTGTTAACTATCCTGACAGTATATGATAGTCAAGTGTATGGAGATACTTTATGAAATGATAGAACTTAATAATAGTTATATCCAGTATTTAAGACATTGGTAGCTTTATTTCCTCATGCATTTCCTTCTATGTAGTGTTTTCTCTTCCATGATATGTTGCATTTGATAATAGTCACACAGCCATGTAGGTTTAGTAGCTACATCAACAACTGAAACAAATAGGGACTCTGACCCTGAGAAGGTTTACACTGTAAGGGGAGAAGACTGCCAATCAGCTGTAAACTGCCTCCTTTTCCTTTCCTTACTTGCGCTTAGGAATAGTATTTAAACAGAAAAAGGCTCAGTTTGCTAACCCACCCTTGCCCCTCTATTGTATGGTAGGTAGGTACAGGTCATTGCCTTCTTGGGCAATGGGAGACTTGTCCTTTTGGATTAACTTCAACTTGGTATCCAGTGGTGTGCCATGTGTCTGGAGGAGTATAATAAATATTTGTAACCTTTGAGAGGATCTGTCAGTGCCTGCGAACTTCCATACATCTTTCTTACCATCTGCCCTCCTCATGTTTTTTTGTTTGTTTGTTTTATTTATAATTAAACTATCACTTTCTAGGGAAAGCTTGGTTAAAGATCTTAGAAAATGTAATATTCTCTGTGTTGGTATAACTTGGGACAGTTGGGGCATAGAATGGGTAAGTTGAAGACAGTGGTTTGCAGCATAAATCATCCTTTTGGAAAGGAAAAAAGAAAAAACCCAAAATAGTGGATTTGAATTAGGGTTATGGTGATATGCCTTTTCAAAAGTCTCATAGTGTGATAAAATTCTTAGTCAGGAAAGGTCAAAAAGTACAAATGAAGTGCAATGAGATAGAACTGCTCAGATGTCCTCCTGGAGAGAGTGTTAAAACAGAGTACTCTGATTCATGTATTCCTGTTAAAGTTTGTTGTTTTAATGCAGATTTTTTTTAAAAAAGCATATACTCTGAAGAAAGAGATTTTGTGGAGATTTTGTGTATCTAGAGTTGGAAGGAAGTTAATTTGTTTTCATTTGGAATTTGTATTTGGAAGATAAGTGAAACAAAAGTCATTTCCTGATACAAAGGGGGGGAAAATGGGATACTTTTATAGAGAATAATTATACCTTGTATTAGTGCTTACTGTTCAAAAAATGTTTTTACATACCTTTTTATCTTCCCAGGACCTAGTGATCTATGTATTTTTAACTTTTGTTTCAGTAGTTTTGGAATCTAAGAGGTGTTAATTGACTGTCCCCAAATCAGTAGAGCTAGGCGTTAGAGTCAGGGCCTTATGATTCTTAAGACCCCAGGCTTTTATGTTCTGCCTCTATGAGAATTTTATGTAGCAACACATAGTCATTTTTGGCATAGAAGGGATGTCATTGGACCAATTTTAATAATACTGAAGGCAGGCCTGAAATCCAGAATCTTGAAAGCAAAGTAACTTCTTTACTCATGTGGGTGGGAAAGGTGGTTGTGCCCACAAAGTGGGGTGTTTGTGATCTTTTGATCTCTCTGGGCTAGTAGGAAGGACTCTGTACTCACTGTGGACATGGGATGAAGTAGTACCTGTTCTGTCTTAGACAATTATTTCTTGGGTTCTGTGGTACTAATAATCTTCATTCTTCCAAACCTCTATTTCCAGGAGCCTCCAGAAGATGATGCAAACATCATTGAGAAGATCCTGGCATCTAAGACCGTCCAGGAGGTTGGTGGCTTGTGGCTCTTGCTTTTATATCACTAGCACAGATTACACTCTCTTTGAAGAGTTGCTTGACTAGAGAACCAGGAATTGTTGCTCTTCATTGGAGTGAGAGATAGACAAGAATATTGTCTGGCTAGTCAACAGTTATTTTTACCCCCATGGAAAATTTGAGGCATAAAATTCTTAAATATTTGAGTATGGACCAAACTGAATTTGTTCTCTATTGTGATTCCCCAAACAAGGTGTTTAGCCCTTTGTTACTCTAGTCCATTCAGAATCACCACAGGACTGAGAACAGGCAATGAGCAGAGTTCTAATGAAAACTTGGAGAGAGAGAGAGAGAGAGAGAAAGTAAAAGAGAAATGTGTAGAGGGGGTGTGGTTCTTTAGACATTTCAGAGCCATTGTGGGTTCCCCTAGAGAAAATTCCTGAGTGAAAGGATATGTTGTTGCTGCTGAGAGAATAGTTTTACCTTTTCTTCATGTATCCATGGATGAAACTTTCTTCTTTTGAGAGTGAAAACTGCTGGTCTTTCAGGGTCAGTTGGGGGAGATGCCAGAGATACCTGTGCTCACTGCCACACCAAACTCTCAACCCGACATCTCTCAGAACTCTGGGTCCACTAGGTTTTATCAGCTAAATGCTTTCCCAGCCTGTCCCAGTCTGGACCTTGGAATGATACCACATGGATCCTTTTTTTTTTTTTTTTTTTTACATTTTTTTTTTTTTTTTTACCCGATAGCCATTGGAATAACTGGTCAATAGCTATCAGAAAAGATATGGGAAAATAAAAAGATCCTCAAGAAATCCAACTAAAGCTAGTAGTTGTGTTGACTTACTTGTTTACTTTGGTATGTAATGTTGACCCGTTGATCTGAATTGTTAACTGTTGTTGGTTACAGGTTCACCCTGGAGAACCCCCATTTGACTTGGAGCTGTTCTACGTTAAGTATAGAAATTTGTACGTCTATTTAATGCATTATTTGCATTTTTATTTTATATCCAACTAAAACTTCTTCCCTCCTCATGTTATCTCCTGTATTTTTTGAGTGGCCCCTCAGGCCGTAGATCTTGACTGAGGCGAGTTCACTATAGGTCATTGTACTCGACATTGGCGGCATAGAGAGACATCAGGAGACCTTTTAAAACTCCCGAAGCCTTTGCTGCAGTTGACTTGGACTCTGGGGTTAGGTCCCAAGGATAGATGCCTCTTACAAACGTCTTTCTCTGCTCCCAGCCTATTACTTTTGCTAATTTGTTCTGATGACTGGTAGCTGCTTACATCTGTCCTCCCTCTCCTCTGAGCCACTTTCCATAGAAGCTGCAAAGTGATCAGTTGCTTGGAACTATTGCATTGTTTTGTCTTCTGTTTTTGTTCTTACGGGTAAGAAGTCCTTACCAGTCTTAAGCAGATTCACAAAAAAACTAGTCTGTTGCCTCTATAGTAGATGATTACCCTGTTATTTGTAATGCCTTTAAGCAGCCCTCCCGTGTGGGGCAATGAATTAAAGCACAGCACTGAAAACCAGCTGCAGCCTCTTCAGCACGAGTTTGATCCCTGGCCCTAATATGACCCATATGGCCCGGCAGACCTCTCCTTGTCTTGTCCGCTGTGACCCTCAGCAGTGTACTTTGTCAGTCTGCCTGTTCTGCTCCCCACTGTCTCTGGTGAATCCTCTCAACCACACCTCTGGCCCCACTTCTGTATGCATAAATAAATAAATGTTAAAAAAAAAAAAAAAACCTTAAATCCTTAACCATCTGCTAGCTTATGTACTTATCTCACAATTTATGTGTCTTTGGATAGTTCCTACTTACATTGTAAATGGGCTACAATGGAAGAGCTTGAAAAGGATCCTCGGATTGCTCAGAAGATCAAGCGATTTAGGAATAAACAAGCCCAGATGAAGCACATTTTTACTGAGGTGAAGCAATATTTACTAATTTGACTGCTGCTTTTTTTTTTTTTTGCAGTATTGAAATGGGGTTTAAGTTTCTTAAAGTTGAAGTCTAGTACAGATCTGTTGCTCAAATCATGTTGCTAAGTGTTCACTGATTTCTAGTAAAAGGAGTCCAAATTTAAGCCAAAGAAAGCAGATTATTCATTGTGGTTCTTTCCTCCTTTCCTTAAAAAAAGCAAATCCAGAAAGACTTAAAAGTTTAACATAAAAGTAAAAAGGCTAACATTTCTTAAATAATTTATATAAATTTGGGGAATTTTAGGTATGTTATTTACAGCAAGGAGGATTGATAGATTCAGATTGAATATGCCATGTCTTATACATTAGAAAATACTGCAGATCAATTTGAAAGTAAATAATTAGGAAGTGTATATATACATTATATACGTATACATTTTTCTAATTGTATACTTGTACACATACATTCATGGCATGCATTTTCTTACCCATTATGGGAATCTTTCTGTATATTTACATATACACAGTGTTATATATACACAGATACATATGACACATTGTTTTAATGGTAAGAGATGCTCTTATAACTCAGTATGAAAAATCAAAAATTCCAGATACTAAAAGAAAATAATGAACAAGAAACTTAAAAAGGAGAGAAATATGGTCATTAATTATACAGAACTGTCATCTGTTACACTGGTATTCAAAGAAATGAAAGTGTCCTAGTTTTTACTTACCAAACCTTATTATTTAAAATGTGTATTGTTCATTGCTGATCAAAGTGTAGGGTAGAGAACTCTCATACACCCCTATATGGGAGCATGATTTAGTAGGATAAGTCAGAAGCGCAATCTGGAAATAGACATCAAAATTTCAGAAATTTGTCTGTCTTTTGTCCCAGCAGTTTTGTCATTTATATTATGGAAACTATCAAATGTTTCCTCAAAGACAGCTGTGATGCAGTCCTTTATACTGGTGAAAAATTGAAGACAGGCAAAATGTTAGCTCACAGACATTGTTAAATACAATATGTCTCATAGAAAGGAATGCTGTGCAGCTAGTGAAAAATAACTTTGGGAAATAATTACTAATGACATAGAATTTAATGTTATAAACTACTATTAGTTGAAAATGTTAGGCTTTTACAGTATGTGGGACAGTCCCATTTGGGGAGTGGGGAAGTTATATGCAGGAGAAGAAGCCACCATAGAAATGAACAGAAAATACCTTGACTATACAGGGAACTGACATTTTCTCCAATTGATGTGAACATGGTGATTTTTGTCTTTCTTTTTTAATATGTAATTTTTCTATTTTATCTGGATAATTTTTAAGGAAAAACAGTATAAATAATTCTTAAAATGTAGTCACAAGTACCAGACCTTCAGAATGCATTCACTTGCCATTAAATTATAGTAAATTAGGACACAAACTTAGCAATTCATTATTCATGTTGTACTCCTTTTCCTCAAGTGACAAAAAAATTATTTTAGGATAATGTCAATAAGCATTCTACTTGTCTCCCAATATGAACTTTTTAGCACATAATGATTGACCCCAGCACTTTCTGTGATTGTTTTAATGCCTGTGAGAATTGTTCATCATGGCATTATTCCTCTAAAGATAACTGAGGAAGGTGACAACTAGAACTAGAAAAACCATCTTCAAGGCTTGTTGGATATTCCCCCTCTATTCTTGGAACAATTTGTTCACATCTCTATTTTAGCAAGTATTTGCAGTGTAGTAACTTGTTTACATGTCTGTTTCTTCCATTTTAAGCCCTGCGAGACAGAGAGGGCCCATGTCTTCCTCATATTTCTATCCCTGGTACGAAGCACAGGGTCAGTGCTCAGTAATTATTTGGCTGTCCCCAGGTAAGGGAGGAGGCTTTGCCTGATACTGTTACCCTGCTTCAGACCCTTCAGCACTTCCCATTTTCTTGGAATAAATTCCAAACGCCTTAATATAGCTCTGTGTATCTGTTTTCTAATTTATTCCCAAGGCGGATTCCCTTGGTTGGGACTAAGGAGAGGAAACTGTTAGGGCATATAAAAATAGTGTAACAGGAGTGCATACTCTGTGGGAAGGAGAGGCTTCTGGAGCATAGATAGAGGACACCATCAGATGAGGTGGCATAATAGTGAGTAGTTTTCCGTAACACTGTTTTCGGTCTTGATCTGTGCAGCATTTCTGTTAACAAGTTGGACAAATAATATTCTTGTAAATTAAATAATAGCTTCGTTTAGAGTAGACCTTCTTCATATCCATTACTGTGACTGCTTTTGGAGGTAGCTAGGGCATAGGTTAGGGAAACTTAGCTTTGAGAGGCTGCTAGTTCCACAGGCCGCAGACATGGCGGCCTACTGACCAACTCCTGCCCCTTCTGAAAATCAGACAGTTCAGGTTTACCTGGATAGGCTAGGATGAATGGAATATAATGGCAATAGATAAATGTAATGCCATTTACGTTTTTAAAGTCTATGCAGTTTTGGAGTGGAGAAAATGATTGGATAGCAGTTGCAGGAAGAAAAGATATTTCCAGTTTAATTACAAGTTTATTGTGAGCCAAGTGTACTGCGTGATTGTTTAAAATATAGCACTAAATTGTAGCAGTAGAATAATCCTGTACCTTACTGTTTTCATTAAGTATAATTTTCATTTGGGTACCAGGATTTGCAAAACCTGAGGGCAGCCCTCCCCTGGCATCCAGGGGCCCTGTGCCGGCTGGTCCCACTATCAGCTCCAGGCCCATTGGGACACTGGCCTCCAGAGGAGGGAGCCCGTGAGGGGGGCTGAGCACCTGCACCCCAGCCTAGCAAGGGATGGCTCTGCCAGCCACCTGCAGGGAAGCCCCCTGGCTGGGAGGCTGTTAGAGACGGCTACAGGGTTCAGCCCAGGCTAGGGAGGCAGCCCTTCCACCCCGGACCCTGTCTCTACACACGACTTCTCCAAAGAGCTGGGATGGCAAGGCTGTGGGGGCCAGCCCCTCGTCTGGCCCACATAGAGAAATCAACGCCTGAGCCTGAGCCCTGTTAAAGTGAGAAGAGACAGATGCAGAACTGACTGATGGACAGCAAAGGTGGAAAGCAGACTACATAATCCTAGGGGTCACATCTCCAGCGCCTACCTACCAGGGTGCAGCTTCTCACCACACCCCCTCACTGCTAAGTGGCCTTGGACCACTTGCTAGGCCTTCAGATTCAGTATCCTTGTAAGTCTACAGTGAACTCCTAGTACTATCAGCCTTGCAGTGTACCAGTGAGTGTTCATTGGCCCAGTGTTCACGGGTATACTTAGCAGTACTCTGGCTGACTATTCCATTAATGTTAGTTCTCTCCATCACTGAGGGATCTGAAAACATAACATCTGAAGAAGCATTGAATACAAGGGAATTGTAACCCAGATAGGGAAATTTATGAAGAACTAACACAGAGAAAAGAAAATCAACTTAGTTACTGCTGCAGAGGAAGCAGTTCACAGCAATGAGTCAGTTACAGTTGGAAATTAATTTGGCTATAATTTAATAATAATGACCAAGAACATGATGCCACTACTGAGCAGGCAGAAGTAAAACCATCTTGACAGTGGGTCAGGTCTTAGAGGCTGGTAAACTACTGAAGATGAGGATAATGGAATCTGAGGGTAGATCGGCTGGGGACGCTGTAAAAAGTATTCCTGTGTTGACTAATTGTCCCTAACGTCCCTGCTAGTCTAGGAGCCAGCAGTCTAGAAGGAGGGCTGCTTGTGACCTGGGTGAATGTGCCGGCTCAGACAGCTCTCGTGGTCACATTACTTATTATCCTTTCCTTTTCAGTTTCCTGATTTGTAAAGTAATTACAGCACGTAATCCATAAAGCAGTTTTGAGACTTAAATGGTGGCACTTAAGAAATTAAGTATTTCTCAATGTTATTTATCACTGTTTTATAAATACAGTTTTTGAAATGTAATGTACATAAAGATAAATAAACCCTAAATGTACAGCTCAACAAACACACCTGTCTAAGCACCACCTCGCTCAGAAAACAGAACACAGCCGGTACCCTGACAGCAACCTCATGCCTCCTCCAGTGTTAGCTATTACAGATGGTATTAAGAAAAATTGGAATTCAAGTTTCCAAGGGTGTGCTTAGCACAAGAAGCAGTAATGAAAAAGGGAAATCTGTGCTAATGTTGTACAGTATCATAATAACCAGCACGAAAGCCTTTCCCTGGTTATGGTATAGCCTATAAGATGGTGTGGTTGATTCCTTTAAATTTAGTCATGGAGAGCAGGATTTGGGGGCAGTGAAGAAATATCTGTGGGTGACTTTTTATTCTCAAGTGAATTCTTTCATTCTGTGTTTCCTGATGGGGCCCAGAGTGGGTGGGATTGCTTAAAGATTAGTCATTGGATATGGGCTTTGAGCGATGAACGGGGGGGACACTTCTTAACTCTTCTCTGTTTGCGTTAGCCTGACGAAGACTTGTTCAACCCAGACTATGTAGAAGTTGATCGCATCTTGGAAGTGGCCCACACCAAGGATGCAGAAACAGGAGAGGTGGGTGTTTCACTCTTTAACGCTCAAAAGGATCTTACCTTCTTTCCTCATATCTTCCTCGTTTTGTTGTCATGTGGTTTTGTTTTAATGGCATTCACATGTTGTATTGTAAGGCAGGTTTTCAGAGAGTAACTGAGATATGGTTCATTTAATCTAAAGGAATGTCTATACATCTCCTGTTTCCCTCAGGAGGTAACTCACTACCTGGTGAAGTGGTGCTCACTGCCTTATGAGGAAAGCACCTGGGAGCTGGAAGAAGATGTGGATCCTGCAAAAGTTAAAGAATTCGAATCTCTTCAAGTTCTCCCTGAAATTAAAAATGTGGTAATGTATCTTATCTCTTTTGGGAATCTCTTATAGCATGTTGTTTTGTGAACTTGTCATTTCTGGTTGCTGCACCTGAGTGGTTTCTCTGACCACTCCCCATTGACCTGCAGTTTAGGATGTTTTTCTGCCACAATCAGTCTTTGCTAGTGCTCAGGTCAATAAGATAGAAGGCATAGAAGCTCAATAAATTCTTAGTATCTTTTCTTGTTTCCTATTTGTAGCTTTTGCTCTGTCACTGATCTCCTGCCTTTGTTCAACTGGAATGTTGTTTAGGTGGTGTTTATTCAACTGGAAAGCTGTCCTTTATCAATAGGCTTCTCAGAAAGAACACAGGATTATTACCACCAAGCTACAAAAATTTCCCATGGTATCTATCACATAGTTGTATATAGAGTATCAATGAAAAGAAGAGAAAAATAGGGATAAAATCTGACTAAGCTGTAAATATATGGAAAAAGAACCAGAGTTGTTAAAGAATGTGGCTATAGGCTAGGATGATCAGTTTCTGGTTTTGTTTTGTTTTGTTTTAAATCACCATTTTTATGTGGAAAAACTCTTACCCAGTTTCGTTATTAGTATTATTTGTATATATATATATATATATATATATATATAACAGTTTATTTTACATTTTTTTTTTCCCATCTCAATTGTAGTCCCCGCGGGCTTCCCATCACCAAGTCACCCGTGTGCCATCACCATAACCCCATGCACTTTATTTGTTACTTTCTACATCACTGGAAAGTTAGGAATCAGAAGACAGAGCTCAACATTGACCTTAGATACTGTAAAAATTCATTTCACGGTCCTATAACTGTGGTCTTTCTTAAGCACAATTTGTTAGTCATTTATCATGCATCTCTGTAGGTTGTATCTTCTGTGAGATATAAGAAAGTGGGTACAGGTCCTGTCCCCAAGAGCTATAGTCTAATGGAAGAGACACCGTGGACAGATATGGCAGGTGGCTGTTTGGGTGGGTGACAGTGCAGAGACAAACCATTTTGGGAGCAGATTAGAGAGATTTTCACTGTGAAGCTAGTTGTAAGTCATCTTCTAGAAGTAATCAGGAGTCTTGCTCAGCCTGAATCACTCTTATTTTCTCAAACTGACCACATGCATTTGGCAGGTATGAGGGATCTCAAGTGTCACTTTTCTTTTATGGCTTGGCTCTTGTGATGCTGCTGCCCTCATCTCAGTGAGCCGTGGTATCCTTTGCACTTCTCTTTTTGTTTCTAACTTATTTATTAGCATTTAAATGCACATTCTGAAGTTTTATCTCAAAAATTCTATATTGGAATGGCAGGTGGAAATATAATCAAAGTGCTCTAATCTCAAAAACTGGTTCTAACTGGTATTTACCTGAATATTTTTTTAAGGGATCTTATTCTGGGCTTTGAAGTTTACAAATGGTTCCCATCAGTCTTAGTGAATGACAGGTTGTTCTTGAATGCATTTTGGTAAAATTTGGTTACTTGTAGGTAAAATACAGAATTTTGAGAAAGCAAGAAATAAGGTCATTAATGATTATGCAAAGAGAGGAACAGTCTTTTAATAGGTAAAACCCACTCTGGAGACTCCAAGAATCATTTCTCTTTCTAATTTGAAGTAGCCACTGGAGGTCGTGGGGGTAAATTGTTTCCTGTAGTCTGTACCACTTACGTGCTAATCAGTCTAAGTATCAGAAATTTCTAGCTGATTTCAGGCCTTATGTTTAGATGACTGAAGTTTCTAACTAGTAGACAGTATTAAACTAAAACCCTCATCCCTGGGGAAAGAGGACAAACTCTAGAGTGACTGGATATGGGGCTGCCTCTACAGCTCGAGCATTGTCGAGCCAGTGAAGTAGAAATCTTGAGGGAAATTCTGTCCAACAAGAGCTGTGATGCTCAGCCTTAGTTAACCACTTAAATCACTATCAGGAACATTTGGAACGTCTCCCCCATGATGTCTAGTTGAGTAGGAAAGAAAGTGCATTTAAATAGGAAGCATAGACTTGAGGGGAGCCAGGTTGAATGGCTCATGGAGGCTAAGGGAAAATAAGATTTCCTTAAGAGAACTAAGGGGGAGAGTTTATTTAGGAATATCTTTGCTTAAAAACTTTTTCTTTGAAATGAATTTTTTTGGACATAAATTACTTTCTTATTTATTTCTGAAAACACCTACACAATTATATTCAACAGAGTCCTCTATTTCAAAAGGCTTAGACTGACTACAGTTGTAGTTTTGAAGGTAAATTGTGATAAGTACTTTTCCTAAAAAAAAACAGTGGACAGATTACACTTTTCTCCAAATTTCACTGATACAGTTAGGTGTATTTCATTAAACTTTGCATGCATATGGCTTAGTTTCTATTAATAACACATTTCAGGAGTACTTTATTCCATCGATGGTACTCCCAAAATAGAATATGCAAAACTAGCATTATTGTTTATAAAATTACAAATCTTGAAATTCTTATATATAGCTGCAGGAATAGCTTAAATTATTTTTAAGAAAAAAGTGTCAATTCAAGGACACAGTTTGTCTATAAACAAAATAATCAAGTATGTCCAAAGAATGTAAAATGAAGTCAAATTTGTGGATGGGAAGTCTCTCAATATGTAAATATTTAAATTTTTCCCCCCATATAAAGTAAAATTCCAGTGGGATTTTAAGAGAACTTGACAAATTGAATTCAAAAGTTATAGAGGACAGGGGACCTCCTGGTGGCACAGGGGCTAAAGTGTCAGTACTGTCAAACTGTCTGTAGCCACTGCAGCACGAGTTCGATCCCCAGTCAGGGAGCTGACCCACAGGGCACAGCAGACCTCTCCCATATTGCCCATTGCTCCCCTCAGCAGTGTATTTCAGTGAATCTACTTTTTCTGCTCCCCACTCTGTCTCTGGTGAATCCTCTCACCTCTGGCCTACACCCCAGTTCTTGCATGCATGCATAAAATAAATCTTATAAAAGAAAATTATACAGAATGGTAAAGAGGATTGAATAACCAAAACATTTGAAAATTAATTTTCCATCATCGAGATAGCTCTAATAGTTAAAAAGTGTGATTTTATTATAGCTACGGATAGTCAAGTGGGGCAGAATGAAACTGTGAATATGGTGCCCTGAATACTTTACAATTTGCTGTATGATAAATATGTAATTTCACGTTAGTAGATGAAAAGATCAGTTGTATTTAGAAATCAGTGTTTCGTATGGAACGATAAGACTAATTTTATTACATTTATAGAGAATTTAAGAAACTTGCAGTTTTGATTATTATAAGAGTTTGCCTTATGTACTGACTCTAGAAAATAATCATCAAAACAGTTGACCTGAACTTTCCTAAGCTAATACCACAGGCACAAAAAAATAGCAAAAGGAATGTTGTCTATAGAAAACAGAATATTGTCAATATAGACAATATAGACAACAGAATGTTGTCTATAGAGACAGAATATTGGCTTGCATAGGAATTAAAGTGTAAATGAGAGTTAAATGTAAGAATCTAAATAAAACAATCTGACATTTAACCAAAATTGTAGGTGGGCCTTTTTCTCTTCTTCATTAATTGAAATTTTATAAAGAAGGTTTTTTTTTTATTATAATAGTTTGTTTCTATATCATTTTGTGCCTTTTTCCATCTCAGTTGTGATCCCCATGGACTATAAAAGGAGTTTTTAACGTAATCTAATGAAATCTAAAAAATACAGAATCTGCATGTTAGAAAATCATACAGATTGAAGCAAGCTGTAAGGAAAATATTTTGAGGTTTCCCATCGTCATTGTTATCCTGTCTCTATGTTACACTGCTGCGACATCCTTCTCTGTGTTGTGCTCTCTGCTTTCCTTCACTAGGAGCGACCTGCTTCTGACTCCTGGCAGAAACTTGAGAAGTCTCGCGAGTATAAAAACAGTAACCAGCTCCGGGAGTACCAGCTGGAGGGGATGAACTGGCTTCTTTTTAACTGGTATAACAGGTGAGAGAACACAGTTCATCTACATGAGTGTTTTTTCTCCCAAATGTTTATAGCTGAAGCTAAATTTCTGCCTTCATCTGCTTCAGGTAGTTGCTGGGTGGCAGGAGAGTAGGAAACAGTCGCCTGCTACATGTGGTGATCCTGACTCAGTAGTCAGACAAGACTTCATTTTTACTTCAGGTTTCACAAACAAAAGGAATGGTGTTTAGACACCTTTGACCTTGTCCTTTTTCTTTGCCAGTCTGACCAGAACCTTATGCTCAGCCTAGATATACCGAAACCTAAAAGATGCCTTAGAACTGTTTTCTCTAAGTCTGTAGCTAACAGCGGTTGAGTGGATCTGATTCTAGTCCCACTCTTGTTACTTGTTTTTGAACCAAGGATTCTCTGAACTTGTACTTTAATGTTCAAGTTTACACTCTTCATGCTTCACTTTCGGTCAGAATCTAGATCAAATTTGAAAAAGGTGGGTATTCCTTACATTTAAGCATTGATTTTAAGGACAGCATGTTGTAATGAAAACTACTCAAGTGTAGTCTCTGCCATCTATTCACAGTGAGACCCAGAGCAACACTCGCTGCACCGTCAGGCCTTGGTGGCCCTTCTGTGGTGCAAATGAGGCCTGGCAGGCCAGACCCCATCAGCCTCTTACCTTGCAGTCCGTGATTCTGGATCACCAAAAGCAGCCAGCCTTTTTACTCTGATAAGGGATTTATCATGTGGGTTAAAAGTCTGTTCTTTAGTAACACAGATGAGAGGTAGTGGATCATGTAACCTACCATCTTTTTACTTTGGCCGTGGTGTCTGTGAAATTTGTCTGAAAAGGGAAAGTAGCACAGGTTTGAGACATTTTCTTTTCTTGTTGTCTCTATTAACTTTAATTTTTACTGTTTTTCGGTTTATATTTTAAATTGATCTATTTCATATATTTTCTTGAACGTTGTCATAGTTCTTTTTGGAAGTAGGCATGCTGTGAATAACAATAAAATTCATCTCAGTCACATCTCTGGAAAATGCCAGTAAGGTCTCGCCTTCACCAATGACCTTACAAGTAAAAGTGTGCTTCTGAAATATATTTTTACTTACAACCAGTCTCAACCTCTTTCTTACATTGGGTTATCCGTATCTCTTATTCTTGCAGAAAGAACTGTATTTTGGCTGATGAAATGGGCCTCGGGAAAACCATCCAGTCCATCACATTCCTTTCAGAAATATTCCTCAGGGGGATCCATGGCCCTTTCCTCATCATCGCCCCGCTCTCCACCATCACTAACTGGGAGCGGGAGTTCCGGACTTGGACAGAGATGAATGCCATTGTGTACCACGGCAGCCAGATCAGCAGGCAGATGATCCAGCAGTATGAAATGGTATACAGAGATGCACAGGTGAGCCTCACCCAGGGGCACACTGATATCTTTAGAAGCTTTAACGCCCTATATCTTGGATTGCTGTGACTTAGTTGCTTATTGACACAGACTTCTTGTTCCCCAGTTTGTTTTAATTTGTGAACAAAAAACAGAACTGTAGTACATGCTTTCCACTATCAGGTCTACCATAATCTCTTTTGGGACACTAAAAGCTCAATTTTTGGTTGGCTTATAAGTTGTTTTTACACATAAGAGATTTTATCTGAGTTGTCATATGCTTAGTGAAGAAAGTAAATAGAATAGTTCACAGAGGATGGTTCCCAGCCAACAAGTGTGGAGAGATGAACAGATTTGACAGAAAAGGATAAAGAGAAAACAGGCTTCTGTTGTGTTAAAAGCACAGCAGACTGTTTTAAAGGTATTTTAGTATAATCTGAGTATATTAGTATAATTTGCTGAGTATGCTTGTACGATTGTCCTGGGCGCTGGTGTTTTAAATTAAGCAAGGGGAAAATGAATGATTCTGTTCACAGGAAAGCCCGTGTTCTCCCAGGGGTTTCCTAGACGGCAGAAGGAGGCACTTGGAAGAAGTTTAAGAGGTGCACTAACATGCAGCTCTGCTCTTGACATCTGTTGGCCGTACTAAAACGGGCTAGATGACAGTGCTATGTCCTGCCAGCACAGGATCACCACTTTGAACCTTTTCTAGAACCCAAGTTAAAAAGTAAAATCAGATCGAAAATAGAGGAAGTTTCCTTGGGCTTTAAAGTTGTTTGTGGTTTAGACCAATTTCTGGCTGGCAATGTATGGATCATTATCCATCTGCTTTCCTTACCATGACAATTAACAATTAAAAAGCTTTCTTGCTGTACAGCCCATCCTCTTCATTGTACCATTGTGAGGGCATATACTTTCTTGTTTCTGTTTTGTTGATATAATGAGGCCTCTCTTCTCTGAAGAACTAATTCATTCTTACATTCTCTCCTTTCTGAAATAAGGTAGAGTAGAGCTTATTATCTTCTCACTTAAGGCCATAGCATTTATTTTGCTTCTCTTTTGATCATCTGGTGGTACCCCACTAGCAGAATTTTAATAGGTATAGCATAAAACTTTCCTTTCTATTGTCTCCTCCTCAGGGAAACCCCCTTTCAGGAGTCTTCAAGTTTCATGTAGTCATAACAACATTTGAGATGATCTTGGCAGACTGCCCAGAGCTGAAGAAGATTCACTGGAGCTGTGTGATAATCGATGAAGCCCACAGATTGAAGAATAGGAACTGCAAACTTTTGGAGGGTCTAAAGCTCATGGCCTTGGTGAGAATTAGCAAATTCTTTACATAAACATAGTTCCTTCTAATTGCTATAGGGAAACATTCTGTAACTATGTACGTAGCTTACTTGTGCAGTCTATTTGGTCTAGACTTTCTGCTCCATATATCTGTGGTCGTATAGGAATCAAATGTTTTTTTGTTTTTTTGTTTTTATTTTTATTTTGAACTGGGTCAGCAGTTTGACCTTTGCCAAATACTGATTTCCAGAGGGACCTAGGAGGAGGTTCTTAAGTACTATGAAATTTATGACCCGGTAAGGTAAGCTGTTTTGGCTTATTTTCAGGTCCCTGAATGATATGGCACCAAAAATGATGACCTGTTAACATTACTGCCTTGGCACAGTGCCCAGTGTTGGTGGGTAGGCACTCTATATTGAGTGAATAAATGAATGATTGCTTTGATTAACATGAGAGGAGCTGGGATCAGTGATGTGAAAGAAAGGATGATCTCTCTTGACTGTGAACCTGGGAAATGTTGGCATTCTGTGCTTTCATAAAGCAAAACAGGGATGTCCCAACTTGAACACAGACTGCTCTAGCTTCATTTGCCCACTAAAGCAGTATGTTTGGTGGTTCAGACAGTGTTCATCTTGCATTGTTAATTTGTGCAGGAACACAAAGTACTGCTCACGGGGACACCCTTGCAGAACTCCGTGGAGGAGCTTTTCAGTTTGTTAAATTTCCTGGAGCCATCACAGTTTCCTTCTGAGACCGCCTTCTTGGAAGAGTTTGGAGATCTGAAAACAGAAGAACAGGTAAATGGGACCTGAAGGATTGAGGAAGCAGCATGATAGTTAGTCACCATTCAGGAAAGAGCAAGTCTCTGTGGGAAAAGAAATTAGTAAGTTCTCATCACATCCCTGGTAAATTGAGCGTTACCATCTTTGTTGGTTATATTTAGGAGGAGGAGGGTAAGCTGATTATTGGCAATTCTAACTATTCCAAAAGATAAATGAAACAAATTCCAAGATACTATACGTTAGCATATCAGTCCTGGCTTCACTGATCTCATGTGTACATAGTCTGTAAGTTCAAGGATTTTGCTCTCAGCTTTGGCCTCGGGAGCATAGTACTCTCTTTTATCTCCTCATTCCTCATTCTTCCTCCTACATAATTTGACACATGTTCTTGAGTACAGTAAAATATAGGTAGGGAAGGAAAGAAGTGAGTCACGCACCTACAATAGTTGGTAGCCTGATGTGTCCAGACCAACTAAATTTCTTCACTTTTCCAATATCTGAGTCTAGCTTTTGGACTCAAATCTGATTAAAAATAATTGATATAAATAAAATCTGTAGTATCTATCTATAATAGGGGTTATGGAAATAAGCCGGACAAGTTAAAATGCACAAGAACACACCCTCTCCATCTCTGGCCTATACCCCAGTTCTGTACAAATAAATAAATCTTAAAAAAAAAAAATGCACAAGAACAAATCACAGGTTTGGGGGCTTTCAAGAGGAGAAATGTAACATCTGTTCAGTAATTGGAGAAGATACAATTTAAAGATGGACTTTGGAAGATGCATAAGTTTCCAACAGGTGAAGATAGAAAAAAGATGGAGACTGCTTTGCATAGAGAAGAAAATGCAACTTACTCAGTAGTAAGCAATCATCTGGTTGAACTAGAAACAGGTGGATGAATTGTGGTCCATGAAACTAGAGGGTTTTAGGGTTATATTTTAGGGTTAATTTCAATATTTTGGATATTGAAAGACAGGTTGAAGAACTTGGTGGGTATAGAGAAGGAATGCAAGGCTTTGATTGCAAGAATGGCATGGTTCTTCCAAATTAATCTAGCAATAGTGTGAGAGTGGGCTGGGACAGAGAACTTGGGACTGAGAAGATTTGGAAATTTTGCTAACAGATGTTAAAAGTACACTCTGTGGTTACAATCTGTTGTTTCTACTTCTGTGGCAACTCAGGACTTTTAGAGCAGTGAAGAATCAAATTAATCCCACTTCTCTACATTTACAGTATTTTATCGATCTTCAAAAGCCAGCTCCAACCCTCTCTCCATTTTTTGGATCATTAGAAATGCATCCTCTTCTCCCATTGCACTTATTTTGTGGTATGCATTTTTTCTTCTTCCTAGACAATGACCTCCTTGAGGACAAGGCCCACATCTTCTTCAAAGTTGTGTTTGTTGTATTGACCAGCACAGTGTCTGGCATATAGTATACTCTAAATGATTCAAGGTATGAACCAAGTGAAGGACAAAAGCTGAGCCCGGCATGTGGCAGATTGGCATTTGTCCCTGTCTTTAATAGTTATCAAGCTGTCTTTTCTCTTTGGGTTCTTATCTTGTAATTCCTTATCCATCTGGGGAACTAGATGCCTTATTCCATGGTTGGTAAAATCAAGGTGTCATAACAGATTAAAGATTGGGGTTAGTTAGGGGAAAACCACGAAAAAATGGTATCAATTGTCTGTGATTTAAATCACAATACATAGAAGTTTCAGGAAGCATCTATTTCCAAAGTAAAGCATGTTGATCATTGTTTAAAACCTGCTCCATAGCTCTGCAAATCACTCTGTAAATCACTTTATATTTTTCCAGAAAGTTACCTACAGTAGTTGGTAGCCCAATTTGTTCAAACCAACTAAATTTGTTCACTTTTCCAATATCTAAGTCCATAGCTCTGTGAATCACTCTTTAAATAAATCACTTTATATTTCTCCAGGAAGCATTGGCACAGCACACAGCTTATTATTCAGGCCCTGTCCACTGTTAGTTTTTTTTGACTTGAAACTTTACCCTTTGCACTTGCATTCCCCCTTATTTTGTTTTCCCAGTAGGATCAATATTGGTAGCATGTTTAGCTCAGGGTTATCTTGGGTCCCTTGACTTTGACTCCCTTCTCTGCCCTCATCTTCTTAAAAGAAGCGATTAAGTCACCTTGCGGGTGTCATCAAGTGAGTAGAAATCTGCTGTCCAGGCCTGGATTGTTAGGCGAAGGACAGGCAGATCACAGTGAAGAGTGTGATGACACATGAAGGGCCCTAAGGTGACTACCTGCATGACAGGATAGAAGGTGTCAGCTGACATTCACTGTCTACATACTGCTATTCTCAGGCATGTCAGCTGCTGTTGTCATTGATGGATGTGCAAGAATCCATTTCTAGACTGCCTCTAATTCTTTTTGTTGTTGAGTTCTAATTGACACAAAACCTTGTGTTAGTCTCAGATATTCCAGATAATGATTCTCTGTAAATATATTCACAATCTAATCAATATCCATCACTGCACATACTTCACACCCCATCCTGTGATAAAAATTTCCAAGATCTATTCTCTTCACAACTTTGAAATATATAGTACGCATTATTAACCAGTACTATACAGGGCTTATTTTTGTTGTTTTTTTAATAGCTAGAAGTTTGTACCTTTTGATTACCTTCCCATCCATTTTGCTTACCCCCTAGACTGCCTCTTCTTTTCATTTTGTTCTTTCAATATGTGTTTTCTCTTTGTGATATATCTTGTACCTCCTAACATGGTTTAAAATATTCCTCAAGTCATTGTTGCATGTGTATGTGTTATAAAAAGCTGTTTGTTTTCTCCATCCTAAAGAGTAGGTGCTGTCTTTCATGTCTTTCTTTTGTATCTTGTAACTTTACTACATAGGCTCTGCCTAATTACATGTGAATTCAAACCAGACCCCTTTTTTTCCTTGCTGTTCTATGATAAACTTCTTAAGATCAAGGATCAATCATGATCATCATTTAATCTACCACCAGAGTACTATCACTAGATGCTCAAGAGATCCTAGTGAAGGTCCAAGTACCCTAGTAATTATTACATCAGGGTGGGGGCAGGTGAATAGGTCTCATTTCCCTGACAGGTGAAGAAACTGCAGTCTATCCTAAAACCAATGATGCTTCGGCGGCTGAAAGATGATGTGGAAAAGAACCTTGCTCCCAAACAAGAGACCATCATTGAAGTAGAGCTGACTAACATCCAAAAAAAGTACTACCGTGCCATCCTCGAGAAGAACTTTTCCTTCCTGACCAAGGGGGCAAATCAGCACAATATGCCCAATCTCATCAACACCATGATGGAGCTGAGAAAGTGCTGTAACCATCCCTATCTGATCAACGGTGAGTTGGGGGAGTAGGGAGCCACTTAGGGCTCGCAGAGTCGTCTGACAGAACTAATGACTCTCAGGGACCTTATGTATTGAGTTCCCATTAAATCCTGGGATGTATGTATGCTCATCTTTTCATGACCTCTAAACAGTTTTATTTTAAAGAGGTTGATGAATTTGCCTGAGTAACCTAGTTAGTTTCGACCTTACCTCTGCCAACCCTCTGCCCACTAACATTGGCCATCACCCACTAGTCTGTTGTCCTTTACTTAATGGCAGTCTAGCTCCCCTTTCCACTTTGGGACGTGGAACTGTGTTACTTGGTTGACTAATCATGCTGAAATGAAAGAAAAACTCCAGAGGAATTAATAGTTAATTGTCCTAATTAGAAAAGATGTCAGGAGCTTTTTTTACAGTGAAAGTTTTTGATAAATTTTTTAATTAAAATGTGACTGGGATTTGCACATAGCTTGTCTCTGACCTCAAGAGGCATTTCCTTGTCAACCTTCTGTGAAGGTTTCTTTACTTAGGACCTGGTGTCTCAATCCTTTCTCTGCTCACTGGGACTTGCAAGTCGCATCACCTGTATTCCCTGCGGCTTTGCTTCTTGCACAGCCTTCGGCTGAGGACATAGACCCAGGATACACAAACAGCTAAGAATTCACTTCTTTTTTCCTGGGACCTATAAAGTAGAGAGTTGGCTTTTATCCTTACAGTTTGTCCAAGGAATAGTTTTGTTCCATTCCTTTTCAGGGGCAGAGGAGAAAATTCTGGAAGATTTCAGAAAAACTCACAGCCCTGATGCCTCCGACTTTCAGCTGCAGGCCATGATTCAGGCAGCAGGGAAGTTGGTGCTGATTGATAAGCTGCTCCCTAAGCTGATTGCAGGTGGCCATAAAGTGCTCATCTTCTCCCAGATGGTGCGCTGTCTCGATATCCTGGAAGATTACCTCATCCAGAGAAGGTAAGAGCTGTTTCAGAACTGCATCAAACATGCGGGCTGTCCCCTGTCTTCTCAGACCTTTTTGATCCCATTCAGAAAGTATGCTTAAACAAAAAAGCATTCAAAGATGGAGATAAGGAAGCTTTTAACAATTGACTAAAATTCAGAGTTAAGTTTTAAGGACCAAGTACAACCATGTTTACCCATCTCGTGTGAATGTGGAGCCCTTGTTTTGCTTAAAAAGAATTGTAAATGTTTGTTTATGTTCTTTGAAGAAACAACTCAAATATCATTAGAAAAGGTTAAGAAAAGTATGGATTTACTTTCTTGGGCAGGAAAAGGTGTGTTTAAATAATGACAGGAGAAATACATCCCACAAAGTTTCAATGTACAAAGTTTCTAAAAACCTATGTTCACAACTCAACAAAATTGTCAAATTCAAAAGACTATGGAGATATTTTATGTTCTTTCTCAGCAATTCTTTTACGGTTTTAAGATCCACTAGCTGTGGCACCCCATATTTTCTTATATTCCTTTCATTCCTTGCACCTAAATTCTATCACGCGTGCAGGTGTTAATGTGGTTAATGCTTGTTTGGATTCTCTGTGAGTTACATTTGTTAATACATTGTACTTTACATAATAATACATTGTACCTTATATTTCTAGTCTTTGGGATAAATCGATGATAGGAAGATAATGGATTTTTAAAAATTTACTCTTAATGATGAGTTTTCGAGGTTATTAAAACCATTATCCTTACACATTGATAAGTTAGAGATCTGTATTTTTATGTAGTAAAATTGCAGCTTGTCTCAGTTGTCTTTATTTTCTTTTCCTTGAAGATGCGACTCAAAGTATTACCAGAAATAGCAAATTTAACTATAGGGTATGTTGACATTTAATGTCACATAAATCTCCAAGATCAGATTATACTACAAAGAATTTCTCAGCCTGCTAGTAGAGATTTTTATGTAAATAATTTTTGAGACATATTTTTTAAAAGCTGAATAAAGCAAAACTAGTTAAAACAGGTTTATGTTCTATACAATCACTATATATTAGGAGCCACATTGCCAGAGCATTTGCTTCTTGTGAATAAATTAATTTACTGTTAAAAAATACATAGCTAATTTGCAGTTTTTTAATGAACCCCTCCAGAATGAGAAACTAATTAAGAGACTTTACAGATGTCTTTATTAACCCTTCTATACTACTTTTCTCATCATTTACTGCTCATTTTGCTTTCAAGTTACTTAATGCATTGTAGTTTCTCTGGAGAATAAGGACTTTTATCACTCCACCAGCTGCTCAAAGTCCTTATTCTACTTGGGAGTTAATCTTTGTAGTTTTTTGCTTTGTGTACACATATGTTTAGTTTTGTTTGTTTAAATTGGGATCATATTATACATTCTACTTTGTAACTTAGCGTTTTTGTTCACTATCTTAGGAAACTTTTTTATTATTTTCTTTAATATATTTGGTGGTCTGCATGATACTCTGTCTTGAAGGTTAAAGGTTTTAGTTTTTCAGCATTTTAAGGGATGCTATGACTATCCTTTTACATTGATTGTGAGTGCTTCAGTTATTTACTTAGGTTAAATTCTGATGTTTGTTTTTAGAAGTATCTAATACATATTTTCAGAACACCGCCTAAAAAGGTGGTTTTACTTAATATGCCTTTCCAGTGGTGTATAATAATGTTTTTACTCCATACTCTGATCAATACTATTCTTGCCCATTAATCTTTGTTAATTCAATAAGCCAAAATTATGGGTCCTTATTTTAATTGTATTCCTGATTATAAATGAGTTTTTTTTATACATAGTAACTATCTTTTGGTTTTTGTGGAGTGCTTGCTCATATTCTTTCTCCATTTTCTGTCGCTCTTTTGTCCCTTTTGTTTACTAGTTTTTACTAGTAAAAACTTGTTTACATAAGGATATAGTGCAGTTACTTCCCATTGTTATCTCTGACTTTTAATGTTGTTTGTGGATATGGGTTTTTGTTTGTTTGTTTTTAGAAATTCTAAATTTATAGCAGTCAGATTCTTGGTCTTAAAAATAGTTTTAAATAAACTTAAATGCTTAATTTTGTTTAAATTTAAGCTTAAATGAATATGCTTAGCAAGATTTCCCCTACTCTTTACCGTGGATTCTTATAAATTTAATCTCGTCATTATTTTATGATTTCTTCATCTCATCTGCATCCAGTAAGGTGGTTCTGCCCTTAACATCATCATTACTTTGCTCTTTTTACTTTAGTTTTTGTTTCATCAATTAAACATTCTCATAATTTATAAAAAGCGAAATTATTAGCTTTATGAAAAGTTGCATTCCTTAATTAGAACACCACCATCAACCCCACCCACTGCCCACAACTGCAGTTCTCCTATGCCCCAAAACAGTTAAACTCTTTGTGCATTTTCTTTTATTATTTATGGCTATATCTCAAAATAATGTTAGTGGTCATAATTTCTTGATTTTTGGGGGGGGGGTATTATATAAGGAAGCTGAGTGTCTTCTTTTCTCACTGCCCCTCTAAACAACTTCCTAATCTCCCTCATCCAGTATGCCATGTAAATTTGCTTTAGTTAATTATGTAAATTCTGAATTATAAGTCAGCCATGTAGTATGCAGTTTACTGCTTTTTTCTTGCATGATTTTTCTCCCATGGTAAAAATGATCTTTTGATTGGAATGCTTCTTTTTCTTCATACGTGTTATATATAAGTATTTACCCTGCTTTTGTTATGTCAAGCACATGAGTCTCATCTTCTTGAGGCCATTTCTCTTAGATCTTCTCTTCTGTTCCCCTCTACCCTTTGCTCTTCCTGCCTACAATACAGTTGTCACATGGCATCTCCCTCCTTCCATTATTCTGACAAGTTTTCTTTCCAGCTTTCTTGAATTAAGTCTGCTTGTTAGTGGGTCCCTTGCACCTTTCCTGAGAGCTCAGTCTGAGAAGAGGTGCATAAGTAAATTTTGAGACTTTGTCCAAAATGTTAATTTACCCTTCTGTTGAGTAATCATTCGGTTGGGTTTGAGATTCTAGATATGTGGTCCTGGCTTATTGACACCTAGATGAGCCCATCTATCTAGGTGGGCCATTTCATTGGGGAACCTCAAGTATCAGCAATTTTGGGTGTCCTTTTCCTTTCACCTGCCAACATGGGACCTTGATTGTAATGAGAGTTGGTATCAGAGATCTCAATGTCTCTGTCTCTCTTCTCTTTTATTAGAATAGTAACTCTATCTTTAATTGTAGTGTCTCCCAGAGCAGAAAGGTATCCGCTCTTTTACTTCACCTTCTCAAAGCTGGCATGAGTCGTCTGTAGGCTCCTTGATGCTTGAACAAATATCCCGCCAGTTCCTCTTCTAAGACTGCACAGCCTCACTTTCTGGGGTGCTGGTCCCACCGGTACCTGCTTCCTTTGAATTCTCTGGAGAATTGCATTCTACTTTTCTCACCTCTTTCCTTCTGCTTATTTGTGGGGAAGGAGTTAACCATGCCTTTTAAAAAGTTCTTGTGCTATTTAACTAGAGTTTTGTGGAGATTAAAGAACTAAACATATTAATTCAGTCTTTAATGGGATTTTTTTGGTTTTGTTTTTTAACATTTTAGTCTTTGCTCCTATAATTTTGATAAAAAGGCTTAATGGGGTTCTATTTTAAATTATTTTCAGATAAGTCTAATTTTTTATTTATTCAAAGTTTCATTTTCCCCATTCATAAAAAACACCATCCATTAGGTATAGAAATACTACATATGCCAGGTATGTTGTACCCTTTCTTTTGACCAGTACTTCTGTTCTTGCTCATATGTTGTTGGAGGTGAACTATCCCTGACTATTTGAGTCCCTCACTACCAAAAAAATTTGTATGTATCTGTATACATTTACATGCCTGTACTTACGTATACATGTGTTTGAATTTTGATTCACTTTGACTCATTAAGTAGGGCAGGATTGATAATATTTGCAAAATTAAAGCATATGACATTCACTGTACTTATTCAGGTCTTTTCTATATAAACCACTTCTTTGATATTTATAAAGCATGTACTTTGTGCTAGAACTTCTGTATGTGTTAGGGACACTGGGAACAAACCAACATGGCCTCTAGTACCATGTTGCTAAGTCCTACCTATTTTATACAGATTTACTGTTAAAGTATTTTATGTTTTTCTTCTTTCAGTGATTTTACAGCCATTGTAAATGGGATTTTTTTTTTGCCCTTTTTTTTTTTTATGTTTTCCAGCTGCTTATTGCTGAGAGATGAGAAAGTTGTTTGCCTTCAAGCCTTCTGAAGTTAATTTTCTGTTGTGCTCAAAGCGTTTCACTCCACCTTTCCCTACCCACACATAGTGAGGATTTCTAGAGTGCCATCAGCTGCTTGTTGATTTTTGACAATGATTCAGGGCTACAGTTTGGTGAAATTCATCAACTCCTAGAAATTTTGTTCAAAACATAGTAGATGCAGAGGGTTAATTGCCGTATGTTAAAATTTATGATACCTGCTTTCTTCAAATTTACTAGCCCATAAAGTTGAACCTTGTTTCCTCTCTTGGGTCAGTTTGGTTTTGTTCTGTTGAATGTCATGGCATCCTTCACAGAGAGGTCATGGCACAGCCAAGAGATCTGGCCCAGAAGTTGGAGGTGGCAAGGAACTACTTATTTTTTTATTGAACTTTTTACTTTTCTTATTTAGTTGTTCATCTTTGCGTAATATTTGCTTTCTTCCTCTGGTGTAGACCCCATAAATTTCCCACCAACATACCATTCTTTAACCATCATCATAGTCCATTTAGCTTTTCCCTTCCCTGTGCAAGGAACAATTTAAAATAATTCAAATAGTTGGGATTTTTGATTTAGCTTTGTGTTCTTTGAGAGCCTTCCCTCAACTGAACTGAGTGATAGAAATGAGAATTAATGTTCCTGTCATCCTGCATAATTTCTATAACTTGTTAAACTATAGCTGATAAAACCCTGTCTAATTTTATGGGAATTTTTTTCCCCTAGTGGATAGCCAGGGTATATCATCACTGTTGACTGGTTTCTCCTCCTCGAGACTAGGGTAAGATCAGCCTCACTCAGATCCATGGGCATCCAGCTCCTCACTGAGGGGTGGGGTCTCTCGTCAAGGAACAGTGAGTCACCTGTGCCTGCAGCATTAATCATTCACTTGTGTGCTGGTGCAGGAAGTGGCAGCATTAGCTTAATTGAATCTCAGTCCTGCCACCTCCACTGCATCACATGCCTGGTCAGCCTTCTGAGGGTAACCCAGTGCAGCTCCCCAGTTGATTGGTCTAGCAAAATCAGGGATGAGTAGTTTCTGCCATCACCTTCTATCGAGTTACAAGTTTCCATGGTTTCCTATTGTCTCTTATTTATCTTTAATTTTCTCTTTTTTACATTATTAGGGAAATCTTTTTGTTCTACTGCACTTTAATGGAAGGTGTAAGATGAAGGCCATATCACAAACTGGTTAAGAGTGTAGACTCTGAGTCAAGTCTGAGTTCAGGTCACTTAAAGTCTGGGTTGCAAAGTAAACACTTTGCTTGTGTGTGTGTGTTTGAAGTTATTCAATATAAAATGGGGATGACAGAGAAGCAAATGTGCAGTCATACAGAGCTCGTGTCATCATGTCATCATGTCGACGCAGACCGAAACACTTAAGAACTGGCTGCTGCTTTTACTGCTGTGGCTGCTATTAATAATAGTGAATATAGCTAATTCCTTGTAGTTTCATGGAATTCTAACATACAACCTTTTATTTTTTATTTTATGACACAAGATCTTTTTGGTCTGCCTTCATGCTAAGTTCTTTCTCTTCTACCTATTTTACTTACTAATGTAGTCCCACTGTTGTAAGTTCATTAAATTTTTTTGAAAGAAAAACATCCATGCTGGTGTCACTTCATGTATGTCCCTATGTCTCCTAGATGGTCTGGTTTCTTTACATGGATTTTCCTTTTCCTTAAGGCAGTTGGGATTATATGACCAAATTTATTTTTCTGGAGCTGTTCCCACATAGTCATCTATCACTAGAGTATCTATCTTTATTCTCTTTCCAGTGATTTTCTGAAATTGTAAAGATCTAACTCTAAGGGCTGCTGATAGGATTTTGCCAGGATGTGTTCTTTACTGTTGTTGGGGTTAGGATAGTCAGGTCCTTTTCAGAACTTATACTTTATCTACCTGTTCTTGCTTATTGGTCAAAATTGGGCCCTGGGTAACAGTCCTCTTATTAATTTGTTTGTTGTCAGGGGGTGACTAAGAAAAGAAAACTCTTAGCTGTCATCAATTGCTACTACATTTTTTTGTATTAATACCATGTTTTCCACCTGTGAAGAACAGACAGTACCTGTTTTTTCTGTTTGGAGGAATAGATACTGTGTTCCTATAGCAATTTTATTTCTTATTCTCTTCCCTTTTACCTTAATTTTCAGGTGCTTATTTCTTAACTTTCCACAATTATATGTGCCTTTTCGTGATACTCAGGTTTACTTCCTGACTTTGTTTTCCTCTAAAAATTCTTCGGTTTTCCTAATAGCTCAAAAGCCTTTCCTTTGATTTATCCCTACTTGCTTGGCAACCTACTGCCTAGAAGATCTTGATGTCAGCCATGAAAGTGGAGGTCTGCTGTGCCTCTGAGGCATTGAGGAACTGTCAGGCTAGAAATGACCTGCCCAGATAAAAGGACTGCCTGTCAGTCTTCTCACATTCAGCTTTCCAAAAAGCAAGTAAAGACTGCTTTGAACTCAGATTTCTTGTGATGAGCACTACTGAAAGGAAATGGTTGCAGCTTCTGTTTGCTTCCTGGTCTTATCATTAGACTCAGTGCAAGTGAAAATTGGGAAATGTATGAGAATAACTTGCGGGCTGTGGGGACTGATACTTCACATTTATACTTCTTCTAGTCCTCGTTAGCTTGTGGCTGGTATATTGGTCTAGCTTGGTTTGTGCTTGTTTTGAAATGGGGACATTTTGCGATCAGTTTGAGGTGTCTGCCCTGCTGCGTATGTGGAGGGTGGGCTCCTTCTAGACTACTGACATTTGGTTCAAGTTTAGAAGTGAGGGATTTAAGGCTATTGGTCAACAGCTTCCTTTGTTGTGTGCTGTTCTCCTTTGAAGTCATAATTAACGCCTGGGCTTTCGTTCGTTTGGGTCCCCTCAGATACACCTATGAGCGAATTGATGGGCGAGTACGGGGAAACCTGCGCCAGGCAGCCATCGACCGGTTCTGTAAGCCAGACTCAGACCGCTTTGTCTTTCTTCTGTGCACCAGAGCGGGAGGCCTGGGGATCAATCTCACAGCTGCCGATACCTGCATCATATTTGATTCAGACTGGAACCCACAAAATGACTTGCAGGTAACCATTAGGATGATTGCTGTTTGCCTTAGCTGCCCCTGTATCAAGAACATCATGACAGGGCCTGCCTTGGCTGTAGAGCGTCTGCTGGGCTGCTCGCTGTGCTATCAGCCAGATGGCCGACTTAGGGCCTCAGAGAGGAGACGCACTGAGTGAGAAGTGGGTGTCACTCCTTCCACTAGTTGGAGAGTGGGTCTTTCCTGTTATTTTAAATCAAATGGTATTATATAGTTGTAACCTCCAAATAGAAACTAGAACTGCTACTGTTTATTGTTATCATCGTGTATAAAGAAAGACATTAAGCTTGACTAATTTTCTAATTCTTGATGTATAGATTGATTTTGGCATTTTCACTTGGTGTGTATGTCAGCTGTCATGTCAAGTGCCATAAGTGATGTGTCCCAAAGGGGTGGGAAAGTTGCACACCTGGCATTTGCCTTTGTTAGTTCATTTGCTGTACACTTAAGCGCATATTAGACTTTATTTGTGCTTAATTCTGTGAATTTTCAGATTATATTTACTAGTTTTAAACAAACTAAATAACAGGAGGCTGAAAGATTATTGCCAAAATGGGAATTAATACATCTAAAAAAGCAATAATAAAACAAGAAAATCAGTAGAACTAACACTTCTAGTTCAGAGGCCTTCATCAACCTTGTTTCAAAAGTAAAACTAAGGGCGTTATAGCCAGATTGGACAGTAAGTCAGTCAGAAAGATTCTGAGTTGTCAAGACAGCAATTTGAGTATAGATTTTACATCCACTATTAATAAAAATGAACTCCATCTACTGTAGATTATTTGCTAATGCTTGGAGAGTGTGGTGGGAAGGTAGTGAATGGCTCAAAGCCTTTTTTTCATGAGAATAGATACTTGATAAAAGAAGTTTAAGGCAGCCATTGGGGTTTGCTCTCCACTTGCCACTTTTCACAAAGCCATTCTGTTTCGTGTTTTTCATAAGTTTCCAAGTAGTTTTATTTAAGTCTTCTTATTAGTGTACTAGTTGAAAAGCCCATTGCTTTACATTGTTATGTTGGTGACCATGGCTGAAACCCAGAGGGAAAAGATATAAGACAAATAGTGTGGCACAGTGTTAAAGTGTTTTGTAAATGAGTGAAAGCTTTCAGTCATCTATAGTTATTTTAGAGAAAATTTGTAGCTGTGACTAGCGCACTGTCAGGTGTTTATACTCGTAGAGGATATTTGGACCAAAGAAGAATACCTAGAGGTATGAATAGACTGATTTTGAGGGAGTAACATCCTCAACATATGAACATAATCAAAGCTGCATTTGATCAGTTACTTGCAAGAATATAAGTAGGATAGAGGTACAGGCGAAGGAGTGGGGAAATAGTGCCCGTAGACTAGCCACCTTTATTGTAAGCAGTTTTCTTGGAGTGCAATCACATTTGTATTCATTGGAGACTTCATAGCCCACATCTAACCTGTTTTCTATTACAGAAGTTTGTCTGACAGCTGTAAAGTTTTGTCCTCTTAGTACTCACTCAACTCTGAGGCTTGGTACCTGGGAGATGATGATAAGAAACCAAAACTGGGTGGCTGAGCCGAGGCCATGTTAACTGAACATGACTGAAGGAATTTCCAGAAGGGAATTGGAAGGCTGGCATTTGGAGGCAGAGCATGGGAATCAGATCAGTGGTTATTGGGGAATGAGATCACTGGGGTGTACAATAAAGTCAGGTAAGACGAGAAAGTAAGTCCATGTGCTGAGGCATACACAGAGGAGGAGCAGGGTTCTGCGCTGGCATGCAGCGTAGGCAGCAGGCTGGAAACGACCCACAGGATAGGCACACACAGCACACCCTGGCCAGTGCTGTGAATGTGGTATGGAGGGAGGCCTGGAGAATGTAGCTCTGGGGTCACCATGTGGTTGTCAGGGCTACAGCTAAGTCAGCTATGAAAAATCTGTGGCATGCACGCTTAACCCCACCTGTAGAGACCTTAACCAGACCATTTCCCCAAACTGTTCCTGCTAGATGGCTGTATGACTCGGACATAATCCGTTCACACACAGGCACAAACTCTAATATTGTTCTGGATGTATAAAAGCTCTCAGTGAGTAAGCTTACTTAAGCTTACTGAAGAACTGCAGTCCCTGCTGTCAGAAAAGATGATTGTGTTTTCTCTGGAAGATGGTCTTAGACGTTGAACATTTATCCTGGGGGTAGATTGAGGCACATACTTCCTGATAGAAATAGCAGGGCCATGGAAAAGAGAACCCCATTGTAAACAGTCTCATCCCCTATGCTAGATTTTAGCTTAGCTCCAGATGTCCAAGTCCAGATTACAGAAAATGGGGGTGTTCACTAGTCTCAAACAGCCCGGAGAAATCTTCTGTAGTCAGTGGTTATCGCCAGTCAGGACAGCCTGGGGGTAGGGCCAGGACTCTGTTTCTGACTGATGTAGGCAGACCTTCTCCAGAGCCTGAACAGTGAAGCCAGTCTCATTCAGGGGTGGCCGGGCTCAGCTACAGCAGGCCTGCAGACCAGCCAGCTTCCATGCTGGAGAACACAGCTGCGGTCTCTAAAGTCAGCTGTAGTCAGAAAACAGCCTTACCTTTTCTGGTGCTTATTCTTTATTCATTATTTGCTGGGGCTTCCTGGGCTTTGGGGATAGGGTTAGTCACAGGACTTACTGGAAACATTTTTTTTTTTTCAAATGTAGATCTTCATATAACAAGTGACATAGTGTCACATAGTATTTCCTTAGCATCTCAGGAGTTCAGTAAATGATATCCCTCTCCTATGCCTAGATCCGAATCAATTTAAAAGTAGACACAGAAATACGATGAAGGACGATAACATCAACTTTAATGAATTGTGAAGGTGGGTGAGATGGTACAACTTGACCAGAAGCCATATTAGGCTTTCTAAGACTCCTACATACATATATCAGCCTCTCCTGAGCTTAACCTTATGGCCCAGATCTACTGGTTGTTTGCAAAGCACAGGCCAGCTTGCCCAATGGTGATAGAAGACTACCTGTCTCCTCAAAGGACTGACGGGGAGAGGAGTCTTCAGGTCAGGCCTGCCGAGAGGAGAGCGGCAGCCAGGAGGACAGAGAGACATGCTCTGCTGTGTTCCTGTCTCGGGACAGGCATTTTCTTTTGGAAAATGAGGACAGGGAGCCAAGGCTGCCCTGGGAGCACCTACTTTGTCAGCCTAGCAGCACCCACCCTGCCCAAATCTTCCTCCCGTTCCATGAAAGTAAAGGCACGAGTACATTAGGATTCAGGATGGAAACTGGGCCCTACTTAGGGGAAAGAGAGAGAGCAGTATGAAGTACTTCAGTGTTAGTGTTCTACCTGCGCTTGCAGGGTAAATCAGTTTTTATGCCCCTTTACCATTCTTAGCTAGCAGTATTGGGCAAATGCACATCCGCGCTCAAATCCAGTCTATTTGTGTCAGCATCAGTGTGTGTAAAAAGCAAGCATGTAAATTGACCTTCACTCACCTTCATCCAGGAGAACAGCTGTGATTCAGTCTTGGTTTGCCAGATGCAGCAGCTTTTGCTTGAGGTTCCTGCAGTACTCAAGGTTAGGAAATGGCACAGGAGCTTGAGAAGAAGGGCAGTGAGAAACTGATTTCTTTTCATTTGAGAAAACCAGCTACAGTTGCTGAGGGCGGAGACAGGCCTGTTGGGAGCAGCCGGGTACCACTCCTCCCTCACCAAGGCTGCACGCATTGCAGTCTTGCATGGCTCCATGCACCTCCCTTCTTCTCGAGGGAGCCTTTGCTGTTTAAGACAAGAGCCCTTGGGATTGAACAGGGCTCCAGGTAGCAGTGGTGGGGTCTTACCGTACCATGTCCTTTCTGTCAGGAAGATTCCTGAAGGGAGAACTCAGAGTGTGGGAACATGTGTACTGGCAGGGGCGAAGCCACAGGGTTATGCAGCCCGAGGAGCCAGAGTCCCCTCCAGGACCCTGGAGACAAGACCCAGGCTCTGCGGAAAGGAGTCTGCCCCCTTACCACTGCCTTAACTGTCACCACACTGTTGGGAGCACCTGTTTGTTGACACTGTGTGCCTGGAACTTGAAGGACTATTTTGAAGTCACTTTACTAGCAAGATGGGTGTGTTTATGCTGTCAGAAAGCTTTCATTTTTGTGGGTAGGCAGACAGTAAACAAAGAAAAATAAGAAATAGAGCACAGTACTTACTCCGAAGAAATAAAAGCAGTAAGAATGCAGGGGGTCGGGGGCCTAATTTAGAAAGTAGTCTAGGAAACCTTCTTTAAGATGATGACGTTTGGACAAGATGTGCATGAGAGGAAGAACCTTAAATTGTGAGATCAAAAGGAAGACTGTTCCAGGTGAGAATAGGCAGCACAACAGAAGCAGGTAAGACGGTTACTTACAGCCAAGTAAGGGGAGTGAATTTCTTTCGAGTTCTCTCTCTTCAGTGTCCTCTTTTTCACTCCTAGTCCTTTTTCTACTGCCACAAAGCACCCTATCCCCTCCTATCCACTCCTTTCTCCTTCTTGTTCTCAGCCTGCTCTTGACTGGCACTAACATTGAGCCCAGTCACCAGGCCTCACCTGGGGAAACACATACTCAAGGCTTTGGTTTGGGATGATCGTCTGAATAACAAACAGAGTGCCAGGGGCAGATACCTGTGCCAGTTCTGAAGTGACATTTACATTTTAACGGGGAACAATACCTTACCCCAAGGAATAAACCTGGAGCCAGAAATTTCAGATTCCAAACATAAGCCTGTGGAGGATATCTTTGAGGGAGAGCCACTCAATAGATAGCAGCTGATTCCTCTTCTGCATGAGTAGGCAGCTAAGATGCAGACTTGAGTGCCAGGAGAAATTTAAATCGCTGGGCTGAAATAAGCACTTGTGCATATAAAATAGACTGGGAAACCTACCAGCATGCCAAATCATTGAGTTCAGGTGGGACTACCTCTTCTATGCATATTTCATTGAAGAACAAGTAGTATTTTAAAGAATTAAAACGTATTTTTTAAAGATTTATTTATT